ATAGTTTTATTTCACAATTACCAGTCTAGAATCGTCTTAATACATCAAACCTCTTCTGAATCTGTCAGTTTCTAATTTAAGCCGTTCACACGACCAAAGTAATCAGTGAATGATAAAAAAAATAGATTGATATAAGAACCTTTTTATTTCTTAACTTTTATTTCCTTATTACATAAACTTCAATTGGCAAGATCCATTTCCATCCAAATAATGAATAAACTATCATTCTCCTCAGTCCACGAGACTCGGCTTCAAAATATTGTTGACCATGTCACTTTTTGGGTGATTTTCTCACTGGCTGTACTTAAACTAAACATTTTCTTACATGTTTCATTAACATTTCACTTTTAAACTTCTATTTCAAGCAAATGTACTAAAATGAATAAAATAAAATAAAGACATTCACGAAAAATTAAAATCTGGGAGACGATTGCTTCTCTGGAATCAATGATGACTAGATACCAATTGAACTAAACAATTCAAGTTAGATATACGTGTTTTACAAAATACCTGTAATTTGTAGTCCAGCCATGGATTCTGTTTTATACAATGTGTACAACTACCATCTATGTATTTAACTTCTGTAATTTGAAATATACTTCTCCATTGTGATTAAGATATATTTTTCTTTATCAGTAACAATTAATGTTTATGATTCTTGAATGTTTTCTCATATAAAAAGGCCCTGAACCAAACGTGAAGAAAATGGCAATACATACAGTTTATGTAATAATATAAAAATGTCGTGTCAAAAGTCCTCTTTCATTTTCTTACCTGCTAATACATCATTCTGCATTTCTCTTTTACCCGCGCTCCAGATAAATGCATTCTTTGCAGAATGCCAGCTTGGGAACATGGATTATTGGCCTTACCATTGCAAAATCAACACAATTAGCTTGACATTTTTAACCCCCTTAAAATTCTATGGAGTACAGACAGTCCATGGTCTATTATGGCTTTGTGGTCTGATATTTTCTGTGAAAAATATCATCATATCTTTCAACTGCTATGATATTAAAAAGATGCTTGTAAGACAAAGTTTGTAATAGCTTGATATTGTGAAGATAGACCGTTCACGTTCCTAATGTATATCTATGCTGGATGTACTCAACGTTTCATAATACATAACTTGATTTATCGGATTATAGAGAGATTTTGATGTATAGCTATGACACCAGGTAAGTCCACTGATAATATACTGTTAATGGCCAGGTTTGAGCTAAATTAAAATTTTACCTTCATTCTAAGACGTTCTATTCCTTTAACTAATTCTGAAGTTTAAGGGAGGGGCATGTTTTAGTACTCCGTACAGAAGCAACAAAAAAAGAAACTCCAAACAAATCCACGTTTCAATTCTTGTTCTGCAATTTAGGTATCATTTTACCGTTTTGGGGTAGCACAGTTTGAAATTGAACTTCATCGGCACCATTAACCTTTGCGTTTCCAATATTTTTTATATTTCGACGTCATTGGTGAGCAATAGACAACATAGTTCCCTACAAGGCCATGCTCTTAAATCAGAAATTGGTGTACAAATCTTACAGAATAAAAAATTTGGGTAATAAATTAAAGTCGATCTAAATAAGCTCTTTGGATGTTTTCTTTGAGAAATCTTTGAATACGAAGTTCTAATTCAAATATGAATTCATTCCATTTAGATATATTTCAAAGATAAAATAGTAAAGTTTTTCCCAATCTAATGACATAGACAACAATCCTGAAGCATGCAAACACTACTTTATTGTTAGTTCAATGTTTAAAAGATAAATGTATGGTTTCCAGTTGGACTGGTATTGTTCCATGATGGATTAGTGCTGTTCCAAGATGGACCCGTGTTGTTCCAAGACGGGATGGTGTTGTTCCAAGATGGACCCGTGTTGTTCCAAGACGGGATGGTGTTGTTCCAAGACGGGATGGTGTTGTTCCAGGACGGGATGGTGCTGTTCCAAGACGGGATGGTGCTATTCCAAGATGGATCGGTGTTGTTCCAAGACGGGATAGTGCTATTCCAAGATGGATTGGTATTATTCGGATTGGTGTTGTTCCAAGATGGATCGGTGTTGTTCCAAGACGGGATGGTGCTATTCCAAGATGGATTGGTATTATTCGGATTGGTGATGTTCCAAGATGGATTGGTGTTGTTCCAAGACGGGATAGTGCTATTCCAAGATGGATTGGTATTATTCGGATTGGTGTTGTTCCAAGATGGATTGGTGTTGTTCCATGACGGGATGGTGCTGTTCCATGACGGGATGGTGCTGTTCCAAGATGGATTGGTATTATTCGGATTGGTGTTGTTCCATGACGGAATAGTGCTATTCCAAGATGGATTGGTGCTGTTCCAGGATGGATTGGTGTTGTTCAGTGATGGTATTGAACTGTTTTCTGTAAATGAAATAATAGCACATGTCTTAATCATATATCCTAAATATAAATTCCGCCTGGTTCGTTTACGAGGTTTCGTTTATTATTTCAAATAGTAAAGTAAGGTACTCCCAGATACTTTTCTACATTAATGATAGACCTTTATGATTTTCTAATAGGTGTTTGTGTACTACAGCGAGTTACACATGAGTCAAGCTGATTGTCCGACAATAGACATTAGAAATTATACTTACTTCCTAATACTTGATATTCAAGTAAAAATCCAGAGTTAGTAACCGAGCTGTCAGAATGAAACCTGAGAACCATGCCACCTTCTACACCCCTAACTGAAAGGAAAGAAGAAAAATGGACAAGTCTTACAAGATAAAGTAAAAAGATCTTTATTAAGCTTGTTTCAAAAATGTTGACTTTCCACAAAGTGCAAAGTATGCATGCACGCTGTTCCGGTGTAGGGACCAAAATTATTAATCAATCTAAGTAACTTACTTGTATATGAAGTTCCTGGTGATTTGGTTCCACAGAGTTTCTGAGACTGGTGATGAGGGGCTACTATATTAAGGTAATCCCAAACGCAACCGGATGATGATTCAACATCAAAATGTTTCAAAACCAGGTTCACGTTCGCTTTTCCAGCACCAGTATTAATCGCATAATCACAGTTCAGATTATTAGCATATGTATTAGTTAAACCATATCTAGGGCTAGTTATTACACCAGAATCTCCTTTGAAAGTCATTAAGCAGGG